TTCTTTACTGAAGTACAGTGCCAAGGAATACTTCTTTAGGGCCGCCTTATGTCATTTAAGTATTGATTTATTAAATGCCCAACATGCTATAGAGAAATACTCCAATCAATACCCAGCATTCCAAGACTCCAGAGAATATAAATTGATTAAGGTAATTCATGTCATCAATAATTAAAAAAATTAAAATATTAATTATTTTATACTCTAGGTTCTTTGTGAACATTTGGAGGATCAAAATATTGATGGTTTCACCGAGGCTGTGAAAAACTATGATAGCATTTCACGTTTGGATCAATGGTATACTACCATTTTATTGCGTATCAAGAAAGCTGCTGATGAGGATCCTGATCTGCGATAAAAATCTTTATTTTTATTATATCTTTATTATACATGAACCATTTATCTTCAACGTTTATTTTGTTTGTTGTTTTTTTTTTGTATACAAAAGTAAAAGAAAATTAGTAATTATTATATACCTTTATAATAGTAATAATAAAAATAATAAATAACTGGGATCAGCTGGTCTTGATTTAGTGTCCAATACTAGTGTCCAAAAGCACAAAAAATAAAGTTTTTTATTTTGGAATTTGAGAGTGTCACTAGAGTTTTTAAAAGTTTTAAAAAGAAAAGAATACAGTTTTGTCTATAACCCAGACTATAGTTTCGTCTATAGTTCAGATTATAGTCCTGTCTTTAATCCAGGTTATAATCTTGTCTATATTCCAGACTATAGTCTTGTCTATAGTCGAGACTATTATCTTGTTTATATTCCAGACTATAGTCTTGTCTATAGTCCAGACTATATTCTTGTCTATAGTCCAGATTATAGTCTTGTCTATAATCCAGGTTATAGTCTTGTCTATAGTCCAGATTATAGTCCTGTCTATAATCCAGGTTATAATCTTGTCTATAGTCAAGACTATAGTCTTGTCTATAGTCCAGACTATAGTCTTGTCTATAGTCCAGACTACAGTCTTGTCTATAGTCCAGACTATAATCTTGTCTATAGTCCAGACTATAGTCTTGTCTATAGTCCAGACTATAGTCTTGTCTATAGTCCAGACTATAGTCTTGTCTATAGTCCAGACTATAGTCTTGTCTATAGTCCAAACTATAGTCTTGTCTATAGTCCAGATTATAGTCCTGTCTATAGTCCAGACTTTAGTCTTGTCTATAGTCCAGACTATAGTCCTGTCTATAGTCCAGATTAGAGTCCTGTCTATAATACAGGTTATAATCTTGTCTATAGTCTGGACTATAGTCTTGTCTATAGTCCAGACTATAATCTTGTTTATATTCTAGACTATAGTCCAGACTATAGTCTTGTCTATAATCCTGACTATAGTATTGTCTATAGTCCAGACTATGAGTCTTGTCTATAGTCCAGACTATAAGCATATCTGTAGTCTTGCCTTTTGACTAGATTGTATTATTATCTACAATACAGATTATAGGTCTTTAACAAATTAATGAATTTATTACATTTAAAAACAATAATACCAATCGATAACTTTATTTACACTCAAGTTTCTCATTTTCTGCCACACCCTGTGTTTCTGTTTTGACAAACAAAAACTCTCATCTCTAATTATTTTTCTTATTATGATTATGTCATTTTTGACATTCCATTTAAACAGCTAGTAAGAATTTCTATACAAAACAGAATAGACGATATGAATTTTTTTTTAACATCGCGCAGTGATAATAAAATTAAGTGGAAATACAAGTGAAAATAAAAAAAGAAAAAAACAATCAAAAGAAAATTCCTGTACAGGGAAATTTTCATAGAATGCAAAGAAAATCTTAAAAAAGAGAGTGAAAATTGTTAAAAAAGCTACTGAAGGATATTTTGCTATCAAAAGCTGGGAAACATTCAAGCTGAAAGGACGCCTTGTATTCTGGCTGCGAATAAAATAGCTATAACCATTTTTTTTGGCGTTTAGATTAAAGCAGACAAAAGTTGTACAAAGTTTTTTTGCTATTTGATTTGTGATTTGATGATGATATTTTTTTATTGTTGTCTGTGGTGTATAAATTAAGTGTTAAATAAAAGTAAATCTAAGAAAGAAAAATAATTCAAATTTATGCAAAAAGTTAAACAAAATCTTGAAAAAATGTTAATTAAAATCGAAATTTAAAAAAGAAGTGTTATGAATAAAATGTTTACTACAATAGAAATTAATTAATTAATTGTAGTACTAAAGTGTATTGTAATTTTTTAGCTACTGCTACTATTAAGTGTTTTTGTTGTTGGTTAACTTAATTCCAAATAATTAATGAGCCACCACTACCATACAGCCAACTATATTTATTTAATAAATAAAAAAGAAAATTCTAAAAATATATTTGTTCCAAAAAAGCAAACAAAAAACAAACTGCAAAACAAATTGATAAAAAGAAACATTTGTTACTATTTTTATTAATTTTTCCCCGTGACCCTGTTAGAATATTTCTCTTGTCCCTCCGCCTTTCTCAAAAACTAACTGTCTGGTTTTTTTATAAAAATGGCCAACAATAGTTCCGGATCTAGTGTGGGCTCGGCAGCAGCTGCTACAGGCGTGGCCACTATGCCCGGAGTAAGTGGTGCTGTGGCTGCCGCCTTAAACAATTCCTCGAATAGTGATTTATGGCGTGAGTGTGTTGATTGGCTTACTCGCTGCCAGATCATACAACCAGATCATATGGCCAATGCTCCCACCTCGGAAATAAGGGTCTTAGCTTTGACTCTACGTGATGGTGTGTTGTTGTGCAATTTGGTTATGCATTTGGATCCCACCTGCATGGATGCCAGTCAAATGAATAGGCGACCACAAATGGCTCAGGTAAGTCGAATAAAAAATGGCAAATTTGCTTTTGAAATATAAAACTGATTCAGATTTTCTAATCAAAATTTTTAGTAAAAATCTGTGTTGTAGGTAATTTTCAAAGGTACTTTTAATCCAACCATAGATATAGATAGATAGATAGATGGATAGATAGATAGATCGATAGATAGATAGATAGATCTCGCTCGATAGATAGATCGATAGATAGATCGATAGCTAGCTCGCTCGCTCGCTAGCTAGCCTAGATCGCGCTAGATCGCTCGCTCGCTAGATAGATCGCTCGCTCTCGATCGCTCGATCCTCGCTCGCTCGCTCGCTCGCTCCTGTCGCTCGCTCGCTCGCTCTCGCTCGCTCGCTCGCTTCGCTCGCTCGCTCGCTCGCTCGCTGCTCGCTCGCTCGCTCGCTCGCTCGCTCGCTCGCTCGCTCGCTCGCTCGCTCGCTCGCTCGCTCGCTCGCTCGCTCGCTCGCTCGCTCGCTCGCTCTCGCTCGCTCGCTCGCTCGCTCGCTCGCTCGCTCGCTCGCTCGCTCGCTCGCTCGCTCGCTCGCTCGCTCGCTCGCTCGCTCGCTCGCTCGCTCGCTCGCTCGCTCGCTCTCTCGCTCTCTCGCTCGCTCGCTCTCGCTCGCTCGCTCGCTCGCTCGCTCGCTCGCTCGCTCGCTCGCTCGCTCGCTCGCTCTCTCGCTCGCTCGCTCGCTCGCTCGCTCGCTCGCTCGCTCGCTCGCTCGCTCGCTCGCTCGCTCGCTCGCTCGCTCGCTCGCTCGCTCCTCGCTCGCTCGCTCGCTCGCTCGCTCGCTCGCTCGCTCGCTCGCTCGCTCGCTCGCTCGCTCGCTCGCTCGCTCGCTCGCTCTCGCTCGCTCGCTCGCTCGCTCGCTCGCTCGCTCGCTCGCTCGCTCGCTCCTCGCTCGCTCGCTCGCTCGCTCGCTCGCTCGCTCGCTCGCTCGCTCGCTCGCTCTCTCGCTCGCTCGCTCGCTCGCGCTCGCTCGCTCGCTCGCTCGCTCGCTCGCTCGCTCGCTCGCTCGCTCGCTCGCTCGCTCGCTCGCTCGCTCGCTCGCTCGCTCGCTGCTCGCTCGCTCGCTCGCTCGCTCGCTCGCTCGCTCGCTCGCTCGCTCGCTCGCTCGCTCGCTCGCTCGCTCGCTCGCTCGCTCGCTCGCTCGCTCGCTCGCTCGCTCGCTCGCTCGCTCTCTCGCTCGCTCGCTCGCTCGCTCGCTCGCTCGCTCGCTCGCTCGCTCGCTCGCTCGCTCGCTCGCTCGCTCGCTCGCTCGCTCGCTCGCTCGCTCGCTCGCTCGCTCGCTCGCTCGCTCGCGCTCGCTCGCTCGCTCGCTCGCTCGCTCGCTCGCTCGCTCGCTCGCTCGCGCCTCGCTCGCTCGCTCGCTCGCTCGCTCGCTCTCTCGCTCGCTCGCTCGCTCGCTCGCTCGCTCGCTCGCTCGCTCGCTCGCTCGCTCGCTCGCTCGCTCGCTCGCTCGCTCGCTCTCTCGCTCGCTCGCTCTCGCTCGCTCGCTCGCTCGCTCTCTCGCTGCTCGCTCGCTCTCTCGCTCGCTCGCTCGCTCGCTCGCTCGCTCGCTCGCTCGCTCGCTCGCTCGCTCGCTCGCTCGCTCGCTCGCTCCTCTCGCTCGCTCGCTCGCTGCTCGCTCGCTCGTCTCGCTCGCTCGCTCGCTCGCTCGCTCGCTCGCTCGCTCGCTCGCTCGCTCGCTCGCTCGCTCGCTCGCTCGCTCGCTCGCTCGCTCGCTCGCTCGCTCGCTCGCTCGCTCGCTCGCTCTCTCGCTGCTCGCTCGCTCGCTCGCTCGCTCGCTCGCTCGCTCGCTCGCTCGCTCGCTCGCTCGCTCGCGCTCCGCTCGCTCGCTCGCTGCTCGCTCGCTCGCTCGCTCGCTCGCTCTCGCTCGCTCGCTCGCTGCTCGCTCGCTCGCTCGCTCGCTCGCTCGCTCGCTCGCTCGTCGCTCGCTCGCTCGCTCGCTCGCTCGCTCGCTCGCTCGCTCGCTCGCTCTCTCGCTCGCTCGCTCGCTCGCTCGCTCGCTCGCTCCTGCTCGCTCGCTCGCTCGCTCGCTCGCTCGCTCGCTCGCTCGCTCTCTCGCTCGCTCGCTCGCTCGCTCTCTCGCTCGCTCGCTCCTCGCTCGCTCCTCGCTCGCTCGCTCGCCCGCCCGCTCGTTTTCGCTCGTTTTCCCTCCTTCTGCCCTTCTCCTTCGCCCTCTTCCTCCTTTCCTTCCCCTTCTTTCTTTTCTTTCGTGTTTCCCTTTTCTCTGTTTTCGTTCTTCCTCCCCTCCCCTTCCCCCTCTCTTGCCCCTCCTTCCTCCCCCTTTTCTTTCCCCCCTCCCTTTCCTTTGTCTCTTCTCCCCTCCCTTTCTGCCCTCCCGCTCTTCCGCCCCCTCTTTCTCTCCCCCCTTCCTGTCCCTCTCCCTTTTCCCCCCCCTCCTTTTGTCCTCCCCCTTTCCCCTCCCCCCCCCCCTACCCCCCTTGTCAAAGGCATTAAGAATGTTGTACATACAAATGACAACAGTAGTCGATGAACACTAGTATTAAAACATCAAAATCATTTATTCTCTTTTGACTTAACTTAAAATAAATGAATAGTACACCCAAAAAAATGTCACCTTTAAATAAATATTTACCCAAAAACAAGGTAACACAACAGACAAATGGCATTTAGTCTCCAAACATAAAATACAACAAGAAGAAAGTAGCAGCAAAAAACCACCACCAACAACACTCCAAAATAAAACAAATATTGTACAGATACAGACGCATCCAACCACAACGCCCCACAGAGAATAATCGATGCTAAGAGGGGTAGTGGGAGGCATAAACAATGACGAAGTAAAAGACATTATTGAAGATGATGACGATGCTGTTGAAGAAAGTTTGTTTGATTCTTAAACTAAATTCTGACACATTAACCTTTGTACGCGAGTATAGGGCATGAAAATATACATTTGTACTTAGACAAAAAAGAAAAAAAAATCATACGCACAAGAGCATAATTAAGAATTTTGTTGAGTGAGAGCTGTAAGGCTATGGATAAAGGCCTTCATTTTAATTATTCAACTTTTTGTGTCCTACTTATGGGATTTAGAACTATAGTTTGATGAATTCCAATCGAATTTTGAACTATGTCTCATGTTATTATTTTAGTCAAATATTGATCCATGACTTTATCTCATGCTTATTATAAGGCCTTTTGTAAGGCCCTTAATTTTCACCGGAAATTTAATCATTTATACAAAACATATTCTAACATACATTTAATAAAACTGCCTAGATAATAAAATTGATATTTATTGATGTAGTATTTGAGTATTAAATTAAGAAATATATGGAGTGATTGTGAGTGAAATAGACGGATAAATATTTTGCCCCCAAATTAAAGGAAATATGTTTGAAGTGGAAATTTTCTTAAGCGGCTTAAAAAATGGGCAACGAGAAAAACCACTCACCAAATTTTTAGGCATTTATTTTAAAAATTATTATTAAAATATTGAATAGAATCCAATATTAAACTTGTTTCTAAACAACTTGCTTTACATCTATAATTTGATGGTGAATGAATATAGGTACTCTCTAGATCTACTAAGAATTTAGAAAGGCCATAGGAACTCACTAGAGTATATACCTAGTAATGTTAAATGTGTATTTAAAGCGATTATTAAAACAATAATGCTGAATGAGATAGTCGTCTGGTGACATTCCCTTGGAAAAACTTCAAACAGGAACTCAACTCACAATAAGATATTTTTGTCTTTTAAAATCTAGTTTCGGTATCATATCTCTACAGAGTCCTATAAATCTTCTTCTATAACTATCGACTACTTCCATGTCTATACTGATGGACCAAAAACAAATAGAGGAAGTTGGCGGCATCTTCCTTTAGACTTAAAGCAGACTCAAGAAGAAATATCGTCGATAAAAACTATATGAAAATTACATTGATAGTTATGCGGGTCGTCTCTAAACGAAATGAAGATACATTCATTAATCACTCTTATTTGTGTAAAGGGACACATAGGCGAAAGCTGGAAACATGATGGCTGCATTAGTCTCAGAATAGTTCTCGATTTTAAAAAATTATATCTTTGATTAGGACGGCTCAAAACCTCCTATCTCTTAGTTCTCAGCAGATCGCGGTTATCCACTTTGACCTCAGTTAGTTCTGTCACTTCTATACAATCCGATTAGTTGACTGTTTTCATAAGCATCAAACATTGGCCAAATAGTCTTGGAGAACTTGCAATTTGCACTAATGTTTCAGGATTTTCTAATACTAGTGACTTATGGAAGACTTTCTATATGAACAAGGAATAAGTCGTTGAATTTTAGCTATTCTATTTATTGCTAAACTTTCTAATTGAGTTGTGACCAAGTATCGTACCCAATAAAGACTTCTGCGTATCAAGTTTGATACAACTTTCAATCCAACCAAATGTTCGAAGATTAATTGGTGTTGTCACTGTTTATTAAAAAGTTTAAAGTAGAACCTCATCTATGTAAGACTTTATTACTCTATATGTTCATGGTTTCCATACCTTTCCATTTATTGGTAAACTTTATAATTGAGTTGTGACCATATAATACATTTTAACAGTCGGAAGATGACACCGACTACCTTTCTGTTATGAAACCCAAAAAAGTCTGGAGGGTTACAAGTGCTCTTTTATAAAAGACTCAGATAATCAGGAAAAGAAATGCTACTTTCGGAGTCCGGGTCATCCGGGGCCATATCTTTGTGTATTTTATCTCAGTGTAATCTCAGTTTTACAAAACCTATAATTGGAGGACCAGAGCTGGTAACTTGACTGCAGATCAGTGCACTAAATCACTTTCAGGGTTCACTTGACAAACAAGTGTATCCTCAGATGGGTAGACAGTTTGACTTCGGTTCAGGAATGAGCTGGAGTTAACAATCTTAAGTGGATTGCTTTTGGACTAAGTCGAACCGTCTCTGCTGCATTTGGAGTCGTTAAGCAATTGTTTTGAATTAATAAGGCCTGAAGCTATATAATACCAGGTCTAG